CCCGACGTCTTCCAAAACCTTCCTATAGCTCCATCAGATGCCTTGTCGTCCTACACCGACGTAATCAAAAGAATGGCCCATGCGTTGGGCTTGTCAATTGTTCAAAAGGATCCTCAGTCTACGGATTTCCTCTACGACATCGTCCAACTCGATACTTCCTCAGTCGTTGAGCTCCCAATGTCGTCAGTATTGCTAGAAGCCGCAAAAACCCCTTGGCAAAAACCGTTGTCCGCCCCTGTCTCTAGTAAAAAGCTGGACCACATGTACCGCATTCAGCAAACTGCGGCAGAGTTCCTCCTCACCCATCCTCAACCAAATTCCTTAGTCGTCACCTCGTCCTCCAAATCCAAAAACTCGCAATCCGCTCCTTCCGATAAAGAGGGCAAGAAGTTGGGTTCGTTTGGCCGCCGCTTCTATTCTACGGGAGCGTTGGCTGTGAAAGCCTTTAACTATCTCGCCTACATGGGTCGTTACCAGTACACCCTGTGGGAACAGATGTCCGACCTCTTAGTCCATCTGCCTGAGGACAAGCTGTATGCTGCGAAGCTCCTCCAGAAGGAGGGCATGGTGGTCGCCAAGCAGCAGTTGGCAACAACCAAGCATGTTCTAGAGGCCTCATCCAAGACCATGGCATCAGCAGTCGCGCTTCGCCGTCACTCTTGGTTGAGAACGACCTCCCTCCCCTACGACACCCGTACGTCGGTCGAGGATATGCCCTTCGATGGCCTGGGCCTCTTCCATGCCAATACAGATTCTTCCTTAAAGGATCTTGATAAAAGCATCAAGGCCTCCCAGTCTTTGGGGATCTCCTCTATGTTCCGTCATTCCGCCAAACCGAGGTCTTGGTCCCGCTCTGGGCAGAGAGTCCCGTCTTCCTGTCAGTCTCCAGACACCAGATGGAGACCTAGATCTTATTCTGGCAGCCAGAAATCCTCCTTTCAAAGATCAAAGGCAGGTCCTGCCCAACAAACGTCTCGTCCCAAACAGGGCAAGTCGTCTAAGCAGAGTTTTTTACTTTCCTGTCCCCGAGTCAGCCAAAACCCGTCTCTACCCTTTCATCCATTCCTGGTGCCACGACACTACAGACGAGTGGGTTCTCTCCATCATAACCCATGGCTAGAGGATCCAATTCGACCACTCACCTCTGACACCCACAGTCGTCCTCACCCCACCCTCCTCACCTCTCCTCAGAGAGGTGTCCCTCCTTCTGCAAAAGGGAGCAATCGAACCAGTTCCGTCACACTTCCAACACACGGGATTCTACTCCCGATATTTCACAGTCCCGAAGAGGGATGGAGGTCTTCGTCCCATCCTAGACCCCAGGGAACTGAACAGGTTCGTCGAGTAACACCGCTTCCGCATGGTGTCCCTGCAGCAGATTTTGCCGTTACTCTGGGAGGGCGTCTGGATGGCCACCCTCGACCTCCAGGACGCCTACTTCCATATCACTATCCACCCTTCCCACCGCCAA